ACCAGGCGCAGGATAAGACATTTTGAGGGAGGAGCGACTGGCCGCATGACAGGTCTGCACTGCCAGGAGCTGTGTCACTTCCACAACCTCCAGCAGCATCATCAGGACCACTGACACCCACGCACAGCAGACAGTAACGGTCAACCCAGAGCACCCAACCATGGCACCCCGTGGGGCCCTGGAAGCCGATCAGCACCGCTGTCCTGGGCACCACAGTAATAGACAGCCTCGTCTATTGACTGGCTTGGACCCCGGTGATGGTTAACGTGCCTGTGGAGCCAGACATTGATCAGGAGAATGGTGAAGAGATGCCCGAGGGTCTCTGGTTGCTCTCATAGATCACGGTGACAGTGCCACTGCCAGGGATCTTCTGCTGGTACCAGCCAACACCACTGCTGCTGCTAAACCCGGAGCAGGTAATCTGGGCAGTTTCTCCCAGGTTTGCTGACACTGAAGGTGGCTGAGTCAGCACTGCCTGGATCAGGGAACCTGCAGAGGGAGAGGAGAGAGCAGACAGTGCCCCAGAATCACAGCCCTCCCCAGGCAGCGGAACAGGGAATGCCATAAAATCACAGAAGAATGGACACAAGCACAGTCATGGGTAAATCTGGGAGCAGAGCCCAGCCCAACACATCACAGCACATAGGCAGCTCTGGCAGCAGCAGGAGGACAAGGTTGTCAGCAGCAAGAGGCAGTGGGGTGCAGACAAGGCCACAGTGGGAAATTTGTAGGGACAGGGACAATGGTCCCCTGCTGCAAAGTCGCCTCCAGTGCTCTGGAACACTGAAGGGTGTGGGAACATTCTTTATCAATGAAGGTCATGATGTTCTAGAGAATTTCTGAACGAGAGAAAAATAAGGACATTATCAGTTACAACAGAGGACTTTAGCAGAACTCCTAGAGCAAAAGAAGGAGAAACCATACACAGCTAACTAGCCAACTGAATGTGTAGAATAGGCACGTGAACAATGTATGTCAACCAATAAGCATTTGGGTTGGAGTGCATGGACAGCTTTGCAAGGGTGTAAAACACAGCTTTCTGATAAATAAAGGGTCTTCTTTCTGATAAATAAAGGGTCTTCGATTTGGATATCGGAGTCCGTGTCGTCAATCTCCTCAGAAGGGAGGACCTTCACAGCCATGGCCGTGCAGAAAAGACAGAAACCTGCCTCAGCCCCAGAGGCACAACTCTGCTTGACCAGGAAGCAGCAGGGCTGAAAACCTTCTTCTGATTTTGGAGTCTGTGTCTCATTTCCTATTACTCGTTGTCACCATACACCATTGCTGCTGCCATTGTTTCCACCACAGTAATAGACAGCCTCGTCCTTGGCTTCGACCCCAGTGATGGTTAACGTGCCCGTGGAGTCAGATGTGGATCTGGAGAATCGTGAAGGGATGTCCGAGGGTCTCTTGTCATTGTAGTTGATCACAGTGACAGGGCACTGCCAGGGACCTTCTGCTGGTGCCAGCCTTTGTAGTTAATTCTGGAGCAGGAGATCCAGGTGTTTACTCTTGGGGACACATACATCACGGGGGCTGAGCTGGCACTGACAAGAGACTAGAGAGGGAGAGGCAGTGGGATGGGGACAGGACTCCTTTTCCAGAAGGGCCTGACGCCACATAGGGACCCTGAGAAACACACACCGAGCACAAGGTCAGACTCCCATGGTCCTTGGGTGAAGAGCTGGCAGAAGCACGGACAGGGAGTGCCTGAGATGGAGAAGGGACCCATCATGCTATG